ATCACTTCAAAAATATAAAGTATTATTATATTATTTTTTTGCTAATAAATTTTTTTTTTTTGTAAATAAAAATTGATTTTTTACTAGAGTGAAAAAATTTCTTTTTCATAATTTTTATTCACGTGTGTACTTAATTTTAAATTGTTTATTCCAACTCAGTTATTATTGCGTTAGATAATATTGAAAAATATTGTAGCAATTCTAAAGTTTCTCTAATAAAAGGGATATTTTCTCACTATACAATTAGAAGAGCAAAGTAGATATGGAAATTTATTGTTTTTTTTTTTATAATTTTATTTCATTTTTAGAACAAATTATTTATTTACAATACATAAGTTGAATCTTTATTAAATCCACCTTTTGGGTATGTAACTTTTATTGTTTATATGAACAATATTACTTATTTAACATATTTCAAATCATGTTATTGGGAAGTAAGTAAAATTATCGAAATTACTAATAATTTTAAATGCTTCAAAGTGGTCATCGAAGTCACAAATAACTTGAGTTGTAATGATAAATATCTCAATATTATTAGGCATCATCACGATAATATTATGGGTACAATTCCCATAATTTAAGTAATCGCTCCTAAAATGGTATAGGAAAACCTTTAATTAAAATTATAGGAATGATTTCCATATTTTTCTCTCCGTGTATACTTTAAATAAATAACTTAAGTTTGGAAAAATAAAATTTTTTTTGCTAAATTGATTAATTGCAATTTAGAGTTGTGCAAATAACTGAAGAAATATATAAAAGATAAGTTTTAAAAAGCTTTCAGTTATCACTGAATAAATATTAAGATAAAAAATAGTTTATAAAAAATTAAAAGCCCAAAAATTTAAGGCCCATTCACAAAATATCTCTCATTATATATTTCCGTAAGCATTTACGGTAAAAATACATAAAAAAGAAGAATAGCCGTGGAGAGATAACGAAAAATAAAAATAAAAAAATGTTTCTTTTAAATCGTGCGAAATTCATACTAAAATAACGAAGCGCCGAAGAAAAATAGAGTAGCAAAAAGAGGGGGGGGGGTAAAAAATTAAAGAAAAGAATAAAGAACTGATCGGTAAAATCGTGCATCCAATCAGCCAGGCTTTTGTGTTTCCACGAATCACACAAGAAGACTACACCAGGTAAAGGTAAAGGTATACAGTGTGTAGTATGTTGACGGTCCTTTTGTAACGTGCGTGTTGTGCTTTTCGTTCCACACATACATACATACATAAATATATATGTATGCAGGCATGATCACCCTTTTACTTGCATTGCTCTATTCCCATTCAATTCTCGCCACGGCTATTCTCTGCGATTGGATATGCCGTAGAGATATGAAACCCCTGAGAGAGATGAATATATTTTTTCTAAATGGATAAAACCAGTCCTGTAGTACTATAACTATAACTATAACTATAAACACACAAGACAGAATTACTCACACACTCGGAGATCATCTGATGATCCTTTGACGTTCGACAGCCAAAATCCTCTCCATCATCTTAATCTTTTTTCTATTCCTCGGCAAAAGATCTTCTCCACCTCTTTAGACTTAAAACCTAAAAAAAGTCAATAATAGCCTTTTAAATTTATTTAAAATTGATATACTTGTTCATATTTTTTCTTCATTATTTTATAGACAGATTAAATCAATTAGAATAATAGCAAGGCTTGCTTAGATAATTGCGAGTGGAAATTTCTTTTTAAATGTTACGTAGGTCCCGGTTGTAAATAATTATAAATGGTAAGATGGGATGAATAGAATGAATATAACTTTTATTTAGAGTTCGCCTGCGCTCCAAGATTTCTATTGTTTAGGCCTGGGATATGATTACCCGACTCTCACTCTGCACTGCTCACATTGGTTAGTTTCTTTTAATTTAATGCGTCTTGTGCCGTATCCGTCTCTAATGGAGGTATGTCGCGTTGTCTCCGGGTAATTCTCGATAAGTGTAGGGAATTTGCCTCCTTTTTTTCCCCCTATTTTTATTTTAATCTTTATACATGGTAGACTTTTATTAAACAGCATCGATGTGTGCATGGATCCAAGACGTAGATATCTTATACCTTTTGTTTAGTTTCGTCTAAGACTAAACGATTATAGTTGTAATAGGCATCGAGCATGCTCCAACGTCGGCTGTTGGAAATGCGATGTCCCCCCAGGTCAGAATACCAGATAATATCCTGTCTCAAGGGTCATATCTTCTATCTTTCTTCTCACACTTTTAAACTTGATAGTTTATTTTTTATATTTTTATTATGAAAAAAAAAATTTACATCAAAATAAAATTTTATTTCAATTAGGGTAAATGTACCAATTATTAACCCATTAAGATTTTCTTTTTCTGTACTAAGCTATAAAAAAACTATTAACTTATTGACTACAATTTACAATGGATTTTATTAAAGTTAAATACTTAATTAATATTTATAATAAAAATTAACAAAATTATATTAATTTTGTTATTTAAATGTTGAAATACTAACAGGGTGGCGACTGAACACTAATTTCAAAATTCCCTGACTTTTCCCTGACCAAAAATAAAATTCCAGAACCTACTAAAAAATAATTGTTATTCAAATATTCGTTATAATTGCAAATTTTTTTAAAAATAATTTTTGTATGCAAGAATTCATATCTAATATCTAGAATTGAGTAAAAATTTGGAACTATAAATTATATCATACTTTTTTGCAGATTTTCAACTATTCAAAAAAGATAAGTTTCTTTTGAAAATTAAATTAAATAATTAAACTTTTGAAAATACAATAATTGATATTATTACTATCATTAATCATTGAGAAGTTATACTTCTTTTTTATTATTAATAATATCCATACATTTAGTTTTTTGAATATTATTGATCACAAAAAATAAGAAATATAAATTAATAAAAAACATCAATTAATATTAAAAATAATTTATTATTTCTACAGCATTCTAGTTTATTTTTTAAAATAAACTAGAAATTTCCTTGACCCAAGTTAAAACTCCCTGACTTTTCACTGACTATTCCAGTATTTTCAAATTCCCTGACATTTCCAGGTTTTCCAGGTCAATCACCACCCTGTACTAAAATCACCGTTCTCCAATAAATTGACCGCTGAAATAAATATAAGTAATTTTATAAACTACACAGATATAACTAAATTTATTCAGTACCTATGAAGTATTAACTAAATCTTTAACAAAACTAAACTTGCAATATAATTTTAAATCGTACTTTTTTATAAAATAATATAAATAATAGTAATAACTTTTTTTTTTTTAATATTTAATACATTTAGAAAAAAAAAAACCCCTTGTAAAATATTAATTAATTAACTTTTTTATACATCGGTCAACTAATTGACCGGTCAAAAACTAGTGCATTTACCCTAAATAAAAATATTCTTTTTTTTTTTTAAATATTTTCCTAAATAAATTTTTCTAAAATCTCAGCAAAATTTTAATTATAAATTATCAATCTTATATCAATAACTATTACTTACAAGTACATAAAATATAAAATGACCCAATCATTAAATAATTAAAAATTTTCTTCCTTTACGCCTAGTAAATCCAAACATATCATTAACGCTTATTGATATCATGAAGCATGATAAAATTGCTCCATAATAATTACTGTAAAAACGCGTGTTATAATTGAACATAAATATAAACTGGTAGCGATAAAAAAAAACTCTGCAATAAATGACACATGATTAATATTTATAAAAGTGTATATTGTATCTTAATTACAAAACTATAACTATAAAATATAACTAAATTATTTCCGCGGAGCTCCGTAGGCATCTGGCATGCGTTCGATGGTGTAGCGATGCTGAGCGACGTACATAATCGGGACACCGGGAATTTTTCTGATCCTCTGCTTCAGGTCTTTATCATTGGTGGCGACGATGAAGCACTTGTGTGCCGTCACCCGCTGCACCAGACAGTCGTCGGCATAGGTACCTTTGTGAGAACACCTCAGTCTTTCAAACCGCGGGTCTTTTATCAGCTTCAGCGCAATACTGTACTTCCTGCCGAGTTTCTCCAATTCAGCGACTATGCAATCTGTCACATAGGGAATACATTTTGCATACAGACAGCCCATCATGTTCTCGATTATGTCCAGTTTGTTTTTAACCGAAAAATTAATAAAGTTAGTATCTATCAGGATCCTGTACGGCGGGCCCAGTTGTGTGTTGTATTCAAAGAACAGCGCTGATGACACTTGAGGTCTGAAATTTTAACCAGTTGGTAATTAAATTAATTATTGTTAATAAAATTTGTTAGAAAATAATTACTGACAATTTTTTGATATTTTGAAAAAAAAAAAAAAAAAAAATACTCTAAAAAATATAATACTAAAGTTAGCCGACGTTTTTAATTTTTTGGTTTTTTTTTTTAATATTTAAATTAGAACAAAAAAATATTTTTAAAAAATTGCACTTGTAGTTTTTCAAGTTTTTTACAAATGAAATTTTTTTTTTATTTGTAACAATTTTTTCAATAAAAAAAAATTCAAAAAAATTTTCAATTGTCGGCTAACTTAATTTTCATGAAAAAAAAATTTAATTTATAATTTTTGGAGCTTCTAATTATGTAATTTTTTCAAAAAAATTATCAGATGTCAATTTCAGTGAGATAAAATAAAATACTTACACTTCTTTGATTTTTAGCACAGTTGGATCCTCTTTTTTTTGTTTTGTCGGCGCAGCTCTTTTTTCTTCTTTTCTAAAAATTATAATTTTATTTAGTTAAATAATATTAAATTAAAAAATGAAAAATAAAGGTAAAAATTAATTACTTACATACGTGAATCACTTAGACTTATCATTTTTTTCATTTTTGCAAACCTCTGCAGCACAACTTTCCTCGTTTTCTTATTTTTACCCTAAAAAAAAAATTCAAATTAATATTTTATAATAAAAAATTTAATTAAATAAATTAATTAACAATGTACTTACCATTTTTTAAACTATAATTAATCTTTAATCACAATACATTACAATACATTAGTCAACACGTGCTTCACTTTTATTTACTAAAACGTCACGCTTTATCTAGGTTAGGAATTTAATTTTCTACAAAAGTTTTCTAATTTAGCGACAGGTGGCGCAAACGGGTGAGCTGTCAAAAATTTCTTCTTTATCGATTATTTTGAATAAAAAAATTTATATCGATCTTATATAAATTGAGAATTTTTTTTTAAATTGACATTTTTCAAGTAAATAATGAGTTAAATTACTCTAATTTTTTTTATCTATTTGCAAACAATTATTGAAGCCTAAAAAAGTTAATGGTCTACAAATACGCTATATTTGAAATCAATTAAAACAACTGACAGACAATCGTTAAAAAAGATGAATCTAATATTTTCAACCCTCGAAATATCAAGAGTACTCGAGTCAATTGATGCAAATAGAGATAGTAAACGTCAGTTTAACTAAAAAGTAATCAAACAGTTTTTATTTGCAAAAAAAAAAAAATTCTTACTAAAATTTTATTTCTACTTGAAACTTTGTACAAAGTAGTTCAGAAGAACAAATTTAATTGACGGTTAACAGTGAATTTTTATTTCTATTTTTACCCCGAGAATGTTACTAAACTTTTATCTTATCACTTTTTTATGTTCAATTAAATTTATCTGTGGTGATAAAATTATTAGAGAAGAAACAATCAACGAAAAGCAAGCAACTTATATGGTAAAGTATTTAAGACAATTTTTTAATTTTTTTTAACAAACAAATTTGTTATAAAAATTATTTTTAAAAAATTGTATGTTTTATTGTTTTAAATTTCTGCATGTCAATTTTTTTTCTAATTTTTTTTTTTGCCATAATTGCACGCCTCATAGCGCGAAGCGCGTGAGGTTGTGCTTTATACTCGACTCGTCAAGGTCAAGCAATTTTAGGATCTTTAAATGTCTCTATCACAACCATATTACACTTATACAATGATATAAGTAAATGTACACCGAGAAAAAACTTAAATTAAACCATCTTTTACTTTCTAAAATCATTTCATGTAGGTATTTTAAAAAAAAAATGTTTTGAAAAAAATTTTACGTGGACGTCCGGATGTCACCCCAATTTTGGATGTACCAACGATTACTCCCGAACAAATTGATATTTCAAGACCGGACTTTTTTTATTAGTTTAAGAATGCGATGAACTGGGTCCGTATTTCATATCAGTAGCCTAGTTTACGTATTTTTTTTTTTTAAATTGAATTTTTATTAAAATTCACTTCGATACAACCGTACAAAGACAAACGAATTTTTCTTATATGTCACGTGAAAACTATGGCGCCACTTGATCAAGCCAGATTTTTTAGACTGCGTGCGCATATGACAAGAAAAAGGGCGCTAATATTAAAAAAAAAAAAAAAAAAAAAAAATTCCCTGTAAGAAATTACTTAATCATAATTTTTTTTCTTTTTTAATCAATTACACAATTTATTTTTTCTTAAAAAATGAATGAGTGTTATGAGGCGTGCACTTTTGGATTTTCCAAACTTTTTATTTTTTATAAAATTCTCAAATATATGCTAAATTAATTTTCATAAATATTTTTCTGTCTTAAAATAAATTACATTTTATATTTAAAAATTTTCCTGTAATTAATTTTACAGTCTGACTTAATCGGTCAATGTTACCCAGAAGCAGAGTCATTAGTCATGATCTTCGAGTCAGGAAATTTGATCCTTTACAACTCTTTCAAGTTTGAAAAATTCAACACCCTAAACATTCTAAGTGATTACACAACATACAAAGCAATTCCGAAGTTTCAAAAAGCCCCAATAAAAGGAGTGCTCGTAATATCATCAACAACTGACTCACTAAAAGCAGTAATCGTCGAATCAAAGTGGCACAGCCAGAGGCAATTTTTTGTCATCACAGACAACGGGAAGAAAAGCTGTACGAACGCAAAACGTTATCTAACAAGAGCTTGGAGACATGACGTCCTAAATTGTATTTTCTTGTGTTTTCATCAAGGTGACAGATACATTTACACATTAAACCCATTTATTCCGTACGCCCCAGGACCATGGCAAGTAAATCATAAAGATGAATTTGAATCTTTGACATTTTTCAGTCAAAAATTTACAAGTTAGTATATTTCTTCTTATCAAATCAATAACTAATAAAATATATGTGATACTAAAATTGAGAAACATCTGATTATTTTTATAAATTTTTTAAATAATAAATTATAGCAAGAAAATTTTATTTAAAAAATTCCATCTTAAGAAGCTCTAAAAAATTATAAATGCAATTTGTTAAAAATAATTTTTTAGACCTAGTTTATTATTGAAAAAAAATTAAAAAATTTTCAAGTCTGTCATATATTTAAAAAATTTAGAAAAAAAAATATCAGAATATTTAAAAAATTCCATCTTAAAAAGCTCTAAAAAATTATAAATGCAATTATTTAAAAATAATTTTTTAGACCTAATTTGTTATTAAAAAAAAAATTACAAAATTTTCAAGTGACTGCCAATTTCAATATCACAAATATATTTATATTGCTTCAACAGATCAATCATGCGGAACTTTGTTCTACGAGAAAACAAATAACCTAGGCGGGTTCTTGATTAAATTAGCCGCGGATAATTTTCCGCCTTACGTATCATACTCGATAGTAAACAACACAATCACCAACATAAGCGGGTACGATTATTCAATAAATAAAATAATATGGACAAAATTAAACGTTACTTACCAAGTTTACGACAAGTACAACGGGACTGAAGTTTCTTCTCCATTTCTGATAAAAAATCCTGCAAAGAAGATATCGTTAATCGACAAAGTACTGGAAAATAAAACAGACTTCCTAATGAACTCACTGTTCATCCGCGAGCCGGGCCTGGAAGTTGACTTCGGGCACTTTCTCCTGCAGACGGGAATCACAGCGGTAACTCCTCACCGCGGGTATCTCAGCAGCACCCAGAAACTCTTCTCATTTCTTCCTCTGAGCATCGCAATCCTCTTTTTGCTCACCAGCATTTTCGGATTCACCGTTCTGAAGTATATAATAAAAGACCCTTACTCGCACAATTCCATCGACATACTTCGGGTGTACTTGAGCTCACCTCTGCCTACCTTGCCGACAACCGGCCGAGGAAGACTTTTCTTCGGCAGCATCCTCATCGTCTTCATGATAATCAACGCAGTGGTCCAGGGAAATTTAGCGAAGATCTTCACCGCTGAAAAAAGCCTCCGTAATCTTGAGACTCTTTCCGAAATGAAGAAATTGAACATGACTGTGTTTACCACCCTCTGGATCGAGGAAGTTCTGAGAAAGAATAATCATACTAATGTTCAGGTTGTCAACAAATCAATGGATTGTACTTCGCTGAAAACTAACGAGGCTTACGTCGAGGAAGAGTTGTACCTCGGCTACACTGCGCTTGTTGGATATGCCCACTGCCATATGCCCAAAAAAACTCTGATTCCAGGGCTGTTTCATTCGTACTACGCGCGCGGCAATTGGCCAATTTTTCCCAGGGTTAAAAGATTGTTATTAACGCTCTTTGAAAGTGGGATCAATAATTGCTTTATTGAAAAAGTAATCTTTAAACCTAGGCCTCGTGACCCTACTCAATATCGCCCTTTGACTATGGATGACATGGGTTTTATTTTTAAAGTCATTGTCATTGGGTTATTATTAGCAACATTTGTTTTCTTGTTCGAAGTTTGGATATCTCCACCTACAAATAATCATTAGTTTAGTGCTGAAATAAGTAGTTATTAAAAATTGTTATCTTTAAATTACCTGATGGAATTTTCCGAAGAAATTTTAAAAATAAAAATACTCTTTTCATTGATATAAATTTTGTTATTTTAAAATATTCGGTAACTTTCTATTGCTTACCAACAGCTAGAAAAAATATTATAGTTTTAGAAATAAATTTTTAATGACACTAGTAATTAAAAAAAAAAAATCTATATATGATCGCTTAATTGAGTAAATTTAGTTTCAGTTTTGTAGAAAACAGCAAGAACAAAACATTTATAAATTTTATTTCTACAAAATGATTTTCATTTGGATTTTAATATTTATTTTGACAGGTAAAATTTTTAATAATTTCCATTTTTTATCGCATCTAAAATCATAACATAATACGAAAAAAATCACAGTTAGTTGGAATTAATAAATGACAAATTAAACAATCATGTTATTATTACTATTGCGACGTTTCGACTAAATAAAGAGTCGAAACGCCGCAATAGTAACAATAACATCTGTGATTTTTTCGTATTAATTTTAATAATTACCAAATAATTTTTTAAATTTAAATTTGTATCAATTTATATTTTTTATTATGCAATAAATAATATTTTATGTATGATACTTACGAATTTTATTCGAATTAGTCAAAAGTCATAATGAATGAAAAATCCAAAAATCGACAGATAAAACAAGCTTAATCGAAGGAAAGAAAGGTTTCGGTGACGGCGAGCAGGATTGGGGCTATGTAACAGTGCGTCCAGGTGCTCACATGTTCTGGTGGCTTTATTACGTTAATCCCCCGCGACTCAATAACTCAAATTTTAATGTATTCGATAAGCCGCTGCTAATCTGGCTCCAAGGAGGCCCGGGGTTCTCGTCGACCGGTCTTGGGACCTTCGAGGAACTGGGCCCGCTGGACGTAAATCTCATAAAGCGCAACTACACCTGGATTAACAATTACAACATTCTCTTCATCGATAACCCGGTAGGCGTTGGCTTCAGCTACGTCGAGGAAGACACTCTCTATGCCGAGAACACGGCCCAGATCGCCCAAGACCTTGTTGAGTGCATCAGCCAATTTCTTCAAGTGATTCCGCAGTTCAAAAATGTTTACACGTACATCCTCGGTCAGTCTTATGGTGGGAAAATGGCTGTCGAGTTTTCCTTCTTGTGGTACAAAGTAAGTCGGTAATTAAATTTACAAGAGTTGAATTAAATAATAATTATTTGCAAATTAAAAGGCGCAAGAAAGTGGAACAATTGAGAGCAAGTTGAAAGGAATAGCGTTAGGAAACGCGTGGATTTCTCCCATTGACTCAGTGATGTCTTATGCGCCTTATTTACTTTACTCAGTAATTATATAATTAAATATTTCTATTTATATTATTATTTTTATAATTAATGTTCTTATTTTTTTTTTAGGGTTTAATAGATACTCCTGATTACAACAATTTAAAAATAGTCAGCAGTTTGATTAAAAAAGCTGCGGAAAATAATGATTGGTTAAAAGCGTCGCAATTATATAAATTTTTAGTGCATGCTATAGATAAAAATATTGATTTATATTATATTACAAGAGAAAAACAACTTACCGATGAAAGTCACTTTTATCACTACAAAACTTCTTTTGGAAATCGTGAGCCAGCTTCGAGATCTCCGTTGACTTTTGCATCTAAAATTTACAATATTATGAATGAAGAAGTTAAACAAGCGCTAAATCTTAATAACTCGTGGATATTTTGTTCTTACAAAGTTAAAAATGCATTGAAAATTGATTTAATGAAACCGGTTACTCATATTGGTAAGTAATTGTATCTAATAATATTATAACACTGAAGTTAGCCGACGTTTTTAATTTTTTGATTTTTTTTAGTTATTAAATTAGAACTAAAAAAAAATTTTTTTAAAAATTACACTTAGAATTTTTCAAATTTTTTACAAATGAAATTTTTTTTTTATTATTTTGCAATAATTTTTTTAATAAAAAAAAATTCTAAAAATTTTTTAATGTCGGCTAACTTAGTTTTCATATATTAATTTTTTTTTTATTATTTGTTATTATAAATTTAGTTGAAAGACTTTTGAATGAAACAAATCTGAAAGTTTTTGTCTACAATGGGCAGTATGACTTCATGGTGCCCGTTTACGGCACCGCGACCTGGGTCGAAAATTTGAAATGGTCCGAAGCTGATAGTTGGAAGACCACCCAGAGAATGCCATTTGTTGTTGACAATATCGTTGAAGGGTTTGTTAAAAAACAGAAAAACCTGCGGATGTATTGGATAAATCGTTCTGGACATATGGTACGTGATTTTTTTTAAAATATTTTTAATCAATAACAATAAAGTTAGCCGACATTTTTGATTTTTTGATTTTGCCTATTTATTAAATTATAGAACTCAAAAATATTTTTTTTTTAATTGCACTTACAGTTTTTCAAATTTTCGACATGTCAATTTTTTTTTTATTTTTTGTAATAATTTTCTTCGATAAAAAAATTGTAAACATTTTTAAATGTCGGCTAACTTAATTTTCATTTTTAATCATGACACTGAAGTTGACAGACATTAGGAATTTTTTAAATAAATTTATAGCAATCAAATCATTATGAAAAAAATTGTACATGATAAAATTAAAAATAATTAATTAGTGTAAATTTTTAGAAGCATTTTTTTATGATAATTGATTTGTTATAAAAATTTTGAAATTAATAATTGTCGACTAACTTGAGTATTATTTTTAATAGAGATAAATGAGTTTTTTTTATTCTTCAGGTACCGAGGTGTAATCCATATGCAACAACAGCTTTGTTGCAAGAGCTGACATCTAATAATAACAGCGAAAACACAGTAGACACTTACCGCTTTTTACAATCGGAGCTCCTCAGATTAGATATTCCTTAAAAATAGCTTCTAATTATTTTTTCAAGTCATTACTATAAAATAACTGTTGATATTTATTATTAAAGCTGTCAAATAAAGTATTTATCAATAATTATTTTTTTAGATGGATAAAATATATTAATTTAAAGAATTTATTACTCTTTTTTATTCCTAAATTGTGATAATAATTAAAAATGACAATATGAAAATTAAGTTAGCCGACGTTTTTAATTTTTTGATTTTTTTTTTAATTATTAAATTAGAACTAAAAAATATTTTTTAAAAATTGCACTCACAGTTTTTCAAGTCTTTTACAAATGAAATTTTTTTTTATTATTTTGTAATAATTTTTTTAATAAAAAAAAAGTTCTAAAAATTCTTAGATGTCGGCTAACTTAATTTTCATAAATACGTATGCGTTGACTGGCCCGCCATTTCAGTTTTAACCATCAGTAATTTATTTAAAAAAGTGTAAAAATAAAATGAAGGTAAATTACTTTTTAAAATATATATTTTTCGTTGATTTTAGGTCAATAAAATATCCTCGTTATTTTTTATTTTTATATCTTTATTGGCAACATAGCCACTGGATATAAATATCGATAAAAAATGTTATGTAAATATTAATGACAACAATACTAGTGATAACACTGATAATTTAATAGGACAAAAAATTTATAACCTCTAATATTTATTGTTACTTTTATCGCAAATAAGACGAAAAAATTTCACTGACATTTAATTTTTTTCTAAATTAAAAAAATAAGTATTTAAAAATCTAATTGTTGAGAATTGCAAAACTTGAGATGTTTTTTTATTAAACAAGCGAACTTTTACAGACACAATTGTCGGCTACTTTCAGTATTACTTTAAAAATACGATGTTTAAGTAACAAATATTTAAAGTAATCTTTCTTTTAATACTTCTTTTGTTTATTCAGACATAAACAAATTAGTCTACGGATTAAAATATTTTTAGCCCATGGAGAGTTAAGATAATAATCATAAATGTTGAATTAAAAATGATACACGATAAAAAAAAAATATTTTCTCTGCAAGAATTTTTTTTCAGTTTAAATATAAAATCCGTGATCTTTAAAATTAACGACAATCTAAACAAATTATACATTTTTTTCTTGTTCCAATTCTGCTTTAATCTCAATAACTGAACCATTAAATCCGCGATTAAAGCTTAAACTAAAATTAATAAGTATCTAATTTAAATTTTAATAAATTATCCCGTTTTATTTATCAACAAAATACGATTACGCAATCAGTGCATCGGGTATTTGCATATTTATCTTGTCCGTTTGACACCCGTGTCACCCTCGAATTCCGAAAAATGATAAATTATATTAAAAAAACATATAAAAATAATAATAATAATATTTATGTCTAAATAGAATTCTTTTATTTAAAATTATTCCTTTCCCGCACTGAAACCGAGTATTTTAATACTCCCGGGCGAAAGAACTACAGTAAGTAAAGTTTTAAATAAATAAAAATAACATCCACTAGATGGAAGCATAATACTGGTAATAAAATTCCAACTAGTCAAACAAAAAAAAAGTAACTAGAAAAATATCCCTAAAAACAGATGATTTGGTTTTATAAATTCTCTTTTTACAATATATGTATATGTTTGTGTTTACATGATCCATATAAGTGGAACAAAAGATTTCATAGATACATATTTACAGTTATTAATTTACAATTTATAAGTATGTTTATTTTTTGTTTTTATTGGCTTGTTGCATCCCAGAATTTCCGTATAACTTAAATTAATTAACAAAAATAATAAAAATACCTTTTGTGAGGACCAATCGAGCCTTTTGTTAAAATAATACCTACCAGTGTTGCAATTAGAATTACGTTTAAGTGAAACGTCACTTTGGTTACTATTAATAACGAAAAATTTACCTTGCTGATCAAGGTTACCTGTCAAAAAATTTAATGGTTACATAAAAGAAAATGGAATACAGTACGTATTTGCCAATTTATTTATTTTTATTTATTATTTTTTTTCCTCCAGCTGACAGATTTAACCATTGTAAATTTTATTTTAGACGAAGTAGAAGGTCAAGTCGAGCTGGTGGAGGCCGTGGAGCGGGTCCCGACCATCGGGAACGAGGTTGTCATCGACAACAACCAGCAATGGCAGCAAGTCCAAGCGGAAGCAGACCCAGGCTTCCAATACGCGGATCCAGGTTTAAATTTCCCCGAGCAAAATGACCAAGAAGTCCAGGAAATCCCAGCAAACAACCCCGTACCTGTCAACGAGCCCCCAAACGTCCCCGAGGAGCCAGTTCCTTGGAACCCGAACCAACTGGACCACAATTTTGCCCAGCAGCAAGAGCCAGTCGAGGCAGAACCGGTGCCCGTGGCTCTGGAGCCGCCAGTGGTCGTGATAGACGACGACTCTGACGACACCCAGGACCCGGAACCCGACGAGGAGATTGAGATGGCCAAAAAGAAGCTCAAGCTGGACATCAAAGTCGACAAACCCGTCGAGGAAGACGAGGACAACGACGCGGGGCGACTCTGTCCAATTTGTATGGACTTCTGGAGCAACAGCGGCGACCATCGGCTCTGCTCGCTACGCTGCGGGCATCTCTTCGGGTATTCTTGCGTCCATAGGTGGCTGACGGTCGCTTGCACCTCCGGCAATCGTCGCTGTCCCCAATGCAATAAGAAAGCCACGCAGAAGGACATCAGGGTGATCTACGCGACCAGCGTCTCGGTGATAGACACCGTGGAGATAGACATGCTGAAGAAACAGCTTTTGGAAGTGAATGCCGAGAAGAGTCGCGTCGAGCTGGAATTATCCAACAGCCAGTTGAGAATTCGCTCCTACCAAGACCAGATCGGGAACCTGCAGAAGCGAATCGCCGATCTGGAGCGCCAGAAGTCGGACATGTCGATGCGGATCAACGAGTCGGTGAGCTCGGCGGCTAAAAAATTCCACCTGGACAACACGGTAGACATTTGCAAGGAAGGAGGGTGCCGTGTCCTCGCGTACAACCCCTGGTACGGATGTCTCGCGGTCTCCCAGCAGTCGCGCAGTGCCTTATTCACCGGCTACGGGGTCAAGAAAGTCCTGACAGACAAATTCCAGACCATGCCGCTGTTCATGCTCCACACTCAGCAAATCCGCGACATCGCGTTCCACCCGGTCCAGCAGTCGCTGCTTCTGAGCATCAGCTTTGACCGGACAGCCAAGCTGATGGACATTCAGAACAACGTCACCGTCCACGGGTACCCGATAGATTCTCAAGGCTGGAGTTGCTGCTGGTCCGGTGACAACCCCAATATTTTCCACGCGGGAACTCAGAAGGGCTCAATCGTCCAGTTTGACATCCGACAGACTTCTGGAGCTGTCGATACTATTGAGAGTCCTGGAGACAGGTCCCCGGTGGTGTCTCTCGCTTCAGTTCCGCCCAATTCCTCCGGTGGGCTGATTCGCGGCGGGTTCCTCGCGACTCGGCTCAACACCTGCTACGCGTACGAGCCCTGGAATAATGTCTACGTGCCCAAGCAGCTCTTCCTTGAGGGACCCTTCCTGTCGATCAGGTATGACGAGAAGAACCACCACGCTCTGGTCTCCTCCAGGCCCAACTCGAGACAACCCCAGTCCAGGCACCTGGTGCTCTCCGTCGAAGCCGGGAACGACAATTCGGCTGTCTGTAATGTTGTTCACACTTTCCTCGCGGGAAACTCCCAGAAGCTCATGTCCAGGCCTTGTCATGTCAACCTACAAGATGACACCCTGGTCGCCGCCAACCAGGAAAACACCAAGAGCATTCCTCTCTGGAGCATTGGAACCGGAAAGCAGGTCCATCAGATTCAAGCTCATGATCCCGCGTTAGATATGGTCTCTTTTGCAACCAATGATAAAATTTTTTTGGCTACCTTGTCGGAAAAGAAGCTTCGGCTTTATAATTATGACTAGATTGTTTTTTTTTTTTTCTTTTTTTAATTGTTACGAGAAATTGAATTTATATTGAGATGAATAATGATGATGGTGTGAATGATGATAAATTTACCTGGCATACACTTGTACAAAGACATTTAAATTTAAAAACTGTACAAAATGCATTACACTATTAAATTCATTTATTCATTGCGTTATTCATTATTTTTTAATTAATAATCGATATTTTAAAATTACTTTTTACGAGTAGTATAATTTATAGTTGTAAGTTTTTATTTTATAGGTTGCAAAATTTTTTTTACTAGACTAAATATAAAAATATATTTTTAAGCTGATTAAAATGTAATTCTCGACGAATAAACGTTTTTTTAAAAAAAGACAATTATTTTGATTATTAATTATTTTTTTTATTTAAATAAAGATACTTATTAATTTTACAAATAATCCTTTATTTTAATATTATTATTATTTGACAATTTACAAGGAAAAAAATTACCTATAATTTAAAGATTGCAATAATGGATTGACAAAACGAAAAAATATATGTTTTAACATTTACATAATTTTTAAATCGTGGAATGTAAATTAGATTTTTTAAATTTATAAATCCGATTCAAGCGTTTGCCCGACACCAAAAAGTTTTTTTACTATTTCAACTGGGAAATTTCATAATTTATTTTTTTTTTATTTATTTATATTAATTAATTAGTTGATTTATTATAACTATTATTAGTATTTAATAGATATGATACACGGTGTAATTGTTTGCTAAATGGTTGACCGAACGGCGTTACATGATGAAAAAGTTACTTTTGATAATTTTGCGGGATGTAAATAAAAATATAAAGAAAAATTTAATAGACACTAACTGAATAATTGCTCAGTAGCTCTTTCTAAATCCCAGTTGTACGAGGACAGAGCTACTCGCGCGTTGTGTTCATCAATCCCCATGTCTGTGAGTCGTCTTATTTTATCCGTAAGTTCAGGCATTTTTGCAGGACCTAAAAATTATAATTTTATTATTTTTAAAATCAATTATAATTTTTTAAATCAATTTTTACCTCCAGCGTAGACAGATGTCCAGTGTTTTGCAGTTTGACGAAACATTTCTGGGTGTTCTTTATATTGTTTCGCTACTACAGCATCTTGGGGATCATCTGGCTCTGCTGCTGACAATAATGCTTGCAAACTTAATAACACAGTTCTAAGAGTCATAGCCGCTGCCCTATTTATTAAAAAAAATTAATTACAAGTAATTAAAAAAGTTTTTTGATAGTGATTATTTTTTTTTTTGTCTTGAGTGAAAAAAATGTTGGTTTTTGATGTTTTAAGAGTTCTCTCCAAAGGACAGCTTAAAAAAAAAATTTTTAGAGGTCGCTACAAATTTTTTTAAATTTCAAAAATCGTCGAAAATCGAATTTTTTTTTTTTTTAATTTTTTTTCTCGTTACGTCAAAATTTATAAACCAAAAAAAGGTTTTCCTGAAAGTTTCAGTTTAAAATGTGAATTTTAAAAGGTCGCTCATAATTTTTTTTTAATTTATTAGTGCCTATGTAATTGAATTAGCATTTTTTGACTCTGAAATTAAAAAAAAATTATGAGCGACCTTTCAAAATTTAAATTTTGAATTGAAACTTTCAAGAACTTATTTTTTTTTGGTTTATAAAATTATGACGTAACGAGAAAAAAAAAAAATTTCGATTTTGACAATTTTTGAAATTTAAAAAAATGTTTCAGTTTAAAATGTGAATTTTAAAAGGTCGCTCATAATTTTTTTAATTTATTAGTGCCTATGTAATTGAATTAGCATTTTTTGACTCTGAAATTAAAAAAAAATTATGAGCGACCTTTCAAAATTTAAATTTTGAATTGAAACTTTCAAGAACTTATTTTTTTTTGGTTTATAAAATTATGACGTAACGAGAAAAAAAAAAATTTCGATTTTTGACAATTTTTGAAATTTAAAAAAATTTGGAGCGACCTCTTAAAAATGTTTTTTTGAGCTGTTCTTTGGAGAGAGCTTTTAAAACATAAAAAACTGTCATTTTTTCACTCGACTAAAAAAAAAAAATAGTCGGTTTTTTTGCGCCACCCTAGTGATTATAATAATTTACATACCATTGATCTTTTAAAATATCTAGACATATAGCACCGGTAACTGATGATATATTAGGGTGCCAAATTTTTGTAATAAATCTCACCTTTAAAAAAAATAAGAATTATAAATAATTTATAATTAATAAAAAAAAAAAAAATCTATACCTTTGGTGGATTGAATGGATAAGTTTCTGGTACTTTAATCTCTAAAACGAAATTCCCACCCTCATACGGCGTGTCTGGAGGACCAGCAATTTCTCCTTTTAATTCAGTAAAACTGTCATTTACCAGCTCCACTCTGATCGCACATTTGGCCACCTAAAAATACAAATCATTAATCAGTAAAATATATGATTAAAAAAATTAGCAAAAATTATCGAGAACATTTTTGTTTATAAACATATTAAACTAAGTTAATTATCAAAAATGACCCCTTGACATCATTTGATGATAACAACAAAATGGTGAAACCAACATAATATATTATATATTATATATTTGTTTTTAAAAAGATAATTTAATTTATTATTAAATATATGTCATAGTGTGTCATATACTTTTGAGGCTAGATCGCCAGCAAATTAAAATAATGCATTTCAAATAATTCCGAGGTAGTTAATATACAAAATATATATCCTAATTTTAAAATAATATAAATAAACCAGTCAGTGTCTCAACAAAACCATGGACAAATCTGTGCAGGATGATGACAGCCAGGGTAAATCTAAATCATTAATAATAACTAAATATATCTGATCTGTTGAAATTGATCAATCATCGGGCCTATAAATAAACACCTTTTGTCTTTAAATTACACGTAATTAAATTATTATTATTTTAACGCGTTTATTTAATTTATTTTCCAGGGCCATATTTAATTTAATTTTTATATAAATATGAAATTAAACAATTACGTCAGATCGAGGTCAAAGATCTAGATAATTTTTTTCCCTAGAAAAAAAAAATAGGACAGTTAATAGTTATAATTAAATAAAAATATGTTATAAATATTGTCACTCCGTTATTGATTAATTAATTAATTAAAAGGTGTGATAAATTAAAAAATTACCTCTTCACTTTTGATAACCTCCTTGAATTCGCGTTTTATTCTTTGAGCCGCAATATTTGCCATTATTTTATTATTTATTTGTACAAAAAAAAATATTTATAAAAAAGAGACGTGATATAATTTAAATAAATATGTGTTACTTGAAGTATTACTAAAACATAATAACAATTGTTTGTTTTTATTGGTTTTGATAAATTAAACAAATTAAATTATCAAATAAATTCGACAGTGAACATCGAATAAATTATAAACAATTCACTAAAAGTATATTTTGATACTGGTTACTGGTGTTTAATTTTTAGGCTAAGCACAGGGTGGACCAAGTTACTTAAATCTTCGGGATTCTTTGTTTGTTTATGTATTTTTTTATTTATTGGTCAGTGGTGGGGTAAGTGGCAAGCTAATTAAAATTATAAAAAAAAATATATAAATAAACCCGGCGAGAAAGTATAAATAATATTAATAAAACTATTCATTCGGTTACACTGGTAATTTTAACAACAAATTTTACCATCCGAGTAGACGTGCTTTTCACTCAGCGCCACTTTGCCATTTTCATTTATTTACAATAATCCTACTTTCACTTTTATAATTTTTTTTTTTATAAAAATTTGTATATATTCCTCATATTTATTTGCTGCTTTAATTAATCCTTGGCAAATAAATTTTCAATAAAAGTTTAATTTTAAAAATGGCGTTTTTCCCGCCAATTTTAATTTTTTATTTAAATTATTTTTTTTTTAACAAAAACAAATTATTTATTACAAATAATTATTTAAAAAAAAAAAATACAAAATATTTCTTATAATTAAAAAAAATTTCAAGCGCACTTAATAAAATTTTTTTTCAATACTAAAATAAATATCTGAATAAATTAACTAAAAAAAAAATAATTAACTATTAAAAAAAATTTTTAAAAATGGCGCCAATTTTCCAAAAGTACAAAAAAATAATTTTTCAATGTTAAATTATTGCGTAAGAATTTTGTGAAAATCAATTAAAAATGTCCTTTCAAATAAATCTCGCAAAAAATTTCTTCCCGCGTGTCTCGAATTTTGCCAAGCGTCAAAAAAAAAACCTAAAAAGAAGTAAAACAATAAAGATCAGACTCGGAGCTTCTAATTACAGAGTATTAACCTCCAAATAATAAACAGAAAGAAAAAAGGTTGATTGCGACAGAAAATAAATAAAAAGATAGAAAAAAGAGGTAAGATAAAAGTTGAATAAAAATAAATAATTAAGATAGAGTACATAAATTAAACGATGTAGAATAAATGTATAGAAGAGATAACAAGTACACGGTTAGATATTGATATTGGTGTTGGTATGTATGTGATCATGGAATAATTACTTGTGTAGACCAATAAGCGGGCTTAACAAAGAAACGTCACATCCGTAGGTGGTAAAACAGCCGGTGATTGGTTGATTTCAACAAAAATTATATTGGCAATGTTGTGCGTTGTCGTTTTGTTGGGTTGCAGTGATGCCTGTATCTCAACCAGTGCGTGCTAAGAGTTTGTTACGCGCAAACTTGGAGAGATCACGTTGTGGAGTAGTTTTGCAGAGCAGAATGCCGAACATAAAGGTTTTCAGCGGGTCTTCCCATCCCGACCTGGCCCAGCGAATCGTCGACAGGCTCGGCATTGACATCGGAAAAGTTGTCACTAAGAAATTCAGCAACCTTGAGACATGGTGATTATACTATCCACTTAATATTTTAAATAATTAAATAATAACCTTTAAATACCCGATCGGGAGTTTTAACCAACATTCAGCGGTCCGTTATGCCGCGTGTGTATTAACGTCCCACGTTGCGTCCAATTTAAAGATTAACATTTTTATTTACCACGTGTTAATTATTTTAAATCAGCCATTTATTAGACTAGACCTTTTTTTTCTATTATTTTTATTTTTTGCCCGGTCTTAGCAGTCATTTTTTTTTTTTTTAAGTAATATTAAATAAAATCGGAGCATTATTTTTTGACCAAGCAATTATAATAAAAAATAACATGGTAATTCAATCACTAGTCGTCAGATTTATTACGTCGCATTTTAAAAACTTATGATATAGATTATTAACAAATTATTGTATAATAGATATTTATTATTATTATTATAACCACTTGTAATTATATTTATTTTTTAAATGATACAGAGCACTTTATTAACGTCATTAATTTTAATTGATAATAGAAATAGAAAGTTGACCTTGACGCTGAAAAATATTTGATAATTCTCATTATACTTATAGTGTCTGTTAAATGGTGTCCTTGAAATGTAAATAACTTGATATATAAACTAGTTTACTCCGAAGATTGATTTTTAAAATTTCCATTGGCTCGTATAATAAAAGCATTATTAAAAAAATGAAATTTAAATGAATTTATTATTTTAACAGTGTGGAAATTGGAGAATCAGTACGTGGAGAAGACGTTTACATCGTTCAAAGTGGAAGCGGTGAAGTTAATGACAATCTTATGGAGCTACTTATAATGATAAATGCTTGTAAAATAGCATCAGCTTCTCGAGTCACTGCTGTGATTCCTTGTTTCCCTTATGCCAGACAAGACAAGAAGGACAAGGTAGGAAATCACAAGGTGGATCCATTTTCATTTTTGTTTTATTTTATAAAATATATTAAGTATTATAAATAATTTAATTAATTAATTAATTAATTTGTAAATGATTATTTTATAGGTAAAGGTTATTATTAATTATTTATAATCTACTATTTAAATTTTTAAGTCCATAGTCCTTCTTGTTTTATTAAATTCGCAGGGAGGTGATGGTACTGACAAGAACGTTGTCATGAAGATAAACGAGTGGAAATTCAGGGTAATTCGAGCCGTAAATTTTATCCATTTTATTAAATTCAATCATCATAAATTATTAAATTCATAATACTATTTAATCAGCTTACAAGGGATCTATTAATTTGGAGCAAATATGGGAAAATTCATAATCAATATTTTGAAAATAATAAAACTTTGATAACTGCTTGGGCGTAACCAAGTTATAAATATATTTTTATTATCTTAATGCTGCATGGACCCCCTGGATTTACATGATCTGTATCATTAACCCGGGGGTTATCACTTTAATTGCAACATTGCAGCGTCATTATTAATTATTAAGCAATTTATTTAAACATATATTATGGCTACAACTACATGCAATAACAAAAATATTATTAATTATTATTATTGTTTGCCCTATATCAAGTATCAGTATTTATTTAATTTAATGATTTGATTATTTAATCGAGTGCTTAAATAAATAGACTAAAACAACTGTAAACATTATTCTGAACTAGTTGGGTAATTTTCAGGATTTTGTGCCCGACCTGACGACAGTGAGTATACCGAGTACTGAACGATCGTAAATTATAAACATTCTTAACTCTATTTATTTATTTATTCAAAGCGTTACGACTTGAACACAAACAATACGAGAGTTATAGCTTTCGAGTGGATTTTTTTTAACTATCCATTAAAATTAAATATAATATAATATCTGTATTGTAGGACTAACAATTAATTTATAATTATTATTTATGGCTGCAGCGGTATTCCCTGTCCGTGTTAAAGTAAATAAGAGGGCAAAATATTAATACGATAGCGTAAAAATGATAATAACAGTTTATAAGTTTTTTAAACTTTTGATACTTGACTGTCTTAATTGGATTTGTTTTTATCACTCACCCTGGGGCTATAAATCTTGGGTACTAATCCGCTTCAAATCTACTAATTGCATTTAATTTATTATTATTTTTTTTTTAATAATTATTAACTTACCACCTTATTTACTAACTATTTTTTTTTTTTCTAACATTTGCAGATTAATTAATTAATTAATTAATTAATTTTACGCTTGCTGTGGTATTTATTACTTTTAAAATGTACAATTAAATTTTTTTACAACCGATAAAAATTTATTGTTCATTTTTAAAATTTTTTATTAACCGTAGAATAATTTTTAATGCTTTTACTTACAGTTACATTACCGAGTCTAACAGGGGTGCATTTGCAACACGTCTCTCTCCTATCTCTTCTTCGCAAAAAATTCTTTCAAAAAAATAAACAAAAAATCTGACAAGCGAGCCTTAAAAAAATTATTTCGGCCATTGTATTTATATTTTGTCCTCGAGGCTACGTCTTGTTAAAAAAAATTTCTCTATAAAATTAATCAAGGATTATATTTTTTAAAATTACAGGATACCAGTTGCAAATGGACTTGTTATTAATTGAAGCTTTAAAATTAAAGCCCAAATAGATTAAATAAAGTCATCGTTAAATATTATTTCAGAGCCGAGCTCCGATATCAGCGAAGCTGGTCGCCAACATGCTCTCCGTTGCCGGAGCAGACCACATCATCACCATGGACTTGCATGCCAGTCAAATTCAGGGATTCTTTGATATTCCCGTGGATAATCTATTTGCCGAACCAGCAGTACTCAAGTGGATTAAGGAGAACATCAACGAGTGGCGAAACAGTATCATCGTATCACCTGACGCTGGTGGAGCTAAAAGGTAATTTTTATAAAATTTTATAAATATAATTAAAATAATTTTAATAAAAATTATTCTTAATTACAGAGTAACGTCAATTGCTGATCGATTGAACGTCGAGTTTGCGCTGATCCACAAGGAACGTAAAAAAGCAAACGAAGTTGCTAGCATGGTCTTGGTTGGAGATGTAAAAGATCGCGTTGCTATTCTTGTGGACGATATGGCAGATACTTGTGGAACTATTTGCCACGCTGCTGAGAAATTACTCGAAGCTGGAGCTACTAAAGTCTACGCTATTTTAACTCACGGTATTTTCAGTGGTCCTGCTATCAGTAGGATTAATAATGCCTGCTTTGAAGCTGTGGTTGTTACTAATACTATTCCACAAGATGAACACATGAAAGATTGCCCTAAAATTCAGGTAATTTATTTTTTAAAATAATAATTATTTATTAATTAATTATAATTACAACTCTTATTTATTTTTATTAATTAATTAATTACAGTGTATTGACGTATCAATGATGTTTGCCGAAGCTGTAAGGAGAACTCACAATGGTGAATCCGTGTCGTACCTGTTCTCAAACGTACCCTATTAAAAAACTATACTCTAGGAATGATAAATATTTTTTTTTACAACTCTTTTTTTTTTTTTATATATTATATTATTTTTCATATCTTCGAATTTAAATTTGCTTTAAAAAAATCAATCCGTAATTTGATTTATAGTTTATTTTTCAATTATTAAAAACAAATCAACTGTAAACCAATAAGATCTTATAATAACCATTGTGATATGATAAATTAACTTCATTTTTTTTAATTTAACGATCCGACTGACTTTAATTAATTAAAAATTATTTGTCTCATCCCTAAACGGTTTCTTACTTAAATCAGCATAATAACATTTTACTCAAAAATAAATTCGTTTAAAAGATCAAAATTTTTTTTTTTTTTTTATTATTATTATAACTGTTTAATTGAGTTATTTTTTTTTTTATTTTATTATAATTTTACTCTTAAAAGGTATAAAGTACAAAGATAGGCAATACAATTCTAACCAGTGGCATTATTTCGTTTCATTTTTTTTACTTTAAACCCGACTTTTTTAAACTGATATAATAAATATAAAACAACACAATAAATCCGTTGTACATTACGAAATACAATTGTTTTATTATAAATAATAACTACTTAATTACCTTTCCTTTAAAATAAATAAATAACTATCCTATTAAAATCCTTGTGCTCAAGCAATCCTTAAAATAATCACAGCAAGCTTAATTATAAATATAAATAATTAAATAAAAATATTAAAATTATCACCAAGAGTCCCAGTCTTTGTTCTTGGCACTCTAAAAAATATTTTACACTCCATTTGGTCATTTCAATTGATTAATTGCTTCTAGACTACTTTATTTATCAATAAGTACCCTGTTAAATCAATTAACAACTAATCGGACGTTTTTTCTACCCCTGGGGGTAGCGTTATGTCAAAGACAATTGGTGGATTGCTCGGCAAATAATTTAGATCACACGTCGAAGCGTTTATGTAAATTATTTTCCCATCCGACGAAATACCGTACCCTAAATAAAATAAATAAATAAATTTATTAATTTATTTTAATAATAAATTTTAAATAAAAAAATACCTTCGTGTATGTGTCCAAAGACATGATACTTTGGTTGGATTCGCTTTTGGACGCTGGTGAGTAATTCAACACATCCAGCCCTGACTCCGCTGCAACATAAATCACCATGACCTATCGGGGGAGTGTGTGTTATTAAAATATCCGTATCCGAGGGTATCAAATCCCATTTAGATAAACACGAAGTCCCTCTCGGGACATTAAACGCCCACTTGCAAAATTCTGGTTGCCTAGAAAAAGCTAAATTAGCATCTGTCAATTTAAATTAAGGGGGGAAGTACGTGTAGAAAAATGTTTTCATGCTGATTTTTTATTAATTTTTTTAAGGCATGAAAATTAATGTTATTTATTGAAACTATCAGGTTATTTTATATATATATATATATATATATATATACAGTCAAACCTGAGTAAGAGAGAACTGGGTAAGCGAGAAAATTCTATAAGTGAGAATAATTTTCAGGTCCCGAACTTTGACCCTCCAAAAACCTCTATAAGTGGGACTCAAAAACCTGTATGACAGTCGTTTTTCTCGCCCTGGCCTCTATAACTGAGAGCTTCTCTTGCCTCTATAAGCGACAATTTAACACTGGCAATGCAAGATTCATTCTTTATTTTTCAGGAACTGTGTGTATTTTTGTTTTCTTTATAGTTTGAAGTACGCATAATCAACTAAATTAACTAATTTATAATGCTACAGTTGATAAATATTTATTTGAAACGGAAGGTTCGTTACATTGATAAGCTTAGAGTTGTGAATGCTTTTTGAAAAAATTTATATTTTTCCGTATTTTACGACAATATAACTTAAAAAGTAGCGGAGATATCAGCTGATACACATCGTAAGTTGTCTTCCGACTTAAAAGTTGGTGTGCACTATGAAAGCCACAATTTTTATCTGAAATTAATTGCACAGAAAAATTACTTTTCTTTATACAATTACGCTAAATATGAACCTCCATTCTAAACGATATTTTTATTTAAACTATTTTTTTTTTTTAATAAACAATGTATGAAAAAATGGTAAAAAATCACGATATAATTTCAAAGCCCTCTAAAAAATTAAAATTTTTACTTTTTTTTTGGAATTGAGGTTTATATAGAAGATACACGTATAAAAAAAATAATTTTTTAGTGCCATTGATTTCAGATAAAAATTGTGGCTTCCATACTGCTAAGTCGGATGACAACCTACGATGTGTATCAGCTGATATCTCCGCTACTTGTTAAGTTATATTGTTGTTTAATACGAAAAAATACTCATAAATATATCTATAAAATAACCTGATAGTTTCAATAGATAATATTAATTTTTTAAATCTTAAAAAAATTAATGAAAACGACCTTCTACACGTATTTTCCCCCCTCAAGATAGGTAATTAAAATTTTACCAGGGAGTTCCGTAAATTTTAATCCCGTACAAAACTATTTCAGAATCCTCTAAATAGACACAATTAGTCAGATAATCTTTTACATTTTTCGTCTGGATAGCTTCAGCGAGCGTGTCTTTGGACATTCCTAGAGTGGGTATGTCATCTAAAATACTCGTTCCGGTGTGTTTGTGACGGTCTCCGACATTTTTCGGAGTGAACGGGTGAGTGAATGTCGAGTCGAAACTCAACTCATGGTTGCCTGCAATCACTATCTTGTGCTTGTGTGGCAAATTACCTGTAATTTATTAATTGTTAATAAAATATCAACTAATAAATAATTAAAAATGTAACCTACCAATCCAGTTGTTAAATTCAATGACTTCTTGCAAGCTCCCACATTTAGTAAAATCCCCAGCGTGGATAAATATGTCACCAGGTGGAATGTCAAATTTTATGAAAGGTGTCAACGAGTGCGTGTCACTCATGCAGACAACTCTCAGCTGAAAGTTTATTAATTTCATTACTGAAACTCTATTACTTGGAAATTTAATTAATTATTAATATTTTTATTTAATTTTAAGGATTAAATTAATTGATAATTATATTATTTTAATAAACTACTTAGTAAATAATAAAATAAAATTACTTTATTCGTAGGCGCATCAGCTGCAGGTGGTTTAGCGTTTATTTTAATAACTTTTTGGTGCTGGGATAATTCTAACCAAGCTTCTGTCGGATTATCCGTAAGCGGGTGTACATCGATGTCCATTGTTAATAAAATAAAATTTTTTAATCCTAGTTATTTTAATTACGCTCCAAAATCTAAAAAGTTGTTTAGATCTAATTCTTGTCAGTCTATTTTTAGCTTTAGCGCTTGTCAAAATATAACCTCTTACACGATCAGCTGTTTATCTGAAACTGTTTAATTTTGATTTTTTTTCTCTTAAATAAATTAAATAATTAATTAAAATAATTAAATTATCGTAAAACAAATTCTTCGTTAAAATAATTAATAATATTTGAGTACAAAATCATGATATGAAAACCGGTTTATAAATTTTTCATTCAAAACTGTCGATAGTCAACAATCGATTCTTGACATTTTTATTAATACGTAAAATAATTTTATTTTTCAACAATCACCTGTTAGTTTTTACAACAATAGCTTAAAACAATTGTGTTTTTAATAAAAATTTTTATTTACAAAAAATTTAAAAGTGATTAACAATCGAGCGCAATTATAACAATCGATATATCGAATCTTGAAAGTCGAGCTGTCAAAAAAAAGAAAACAATAATATATTAATACAGTAAACGTCATAAAAAGAAAAAAACTATAGACGCAATTATCTTTATTATTATTATTGTGATATTATTATCATTATATGGACTTTGATCCTTTATAAATAAATATTTAAGTTCTTGGGGGTTTAAATAATCAAGTTTAATTATTTACTAGAACATTCAACTTGTGGCAAGTTGCCTTTTAAACTTTATTTTTTATATTTAATCTTATTATTTTTTAATTTAACAAAATATTTTCCAGGTTCAATCTTTCACATAAAATAAATTAGAATAATTGGACTTTTCATTTACTCAACAGTTCAATACTCCCAAAATGTTGATAAAGGTGAGAAATTTTTCACATATGGTGTTAGAATAATTAATAATTACAAATAATTGACAGGTATTCAGTAATATCACAAAGCAGGCGTTGGCGAGAAATTTTTCAGTGTCTTCTCGCCTGTCCAGTGGCTATTCCTTTGGTGAGTAATTAATTTTACCAATATTGTGCAATAAATCTATTAACTAATAAAATTAACAATTGTTCAGACTTATGGGACCCAATTGTAAGTACAATAATTTCCAAAAGTTGTGTTAATTTTTCTTAATTAATTTTTTTAATTACAGAGTTATCAGAGACCTCGCAAGAAATAAAAGATACTGCTGACAAGTTTGCGAGGGAAGAGATAATTCCAGTGGCTACTCAATACGACAAGTCCGGAGAATACCCGTGGCCTGTGGTCAAAAAAGCATGGGAAACTGGGTTGTTAAATACACACGCTCCAAAAGACATTGGTAAGTTTATTGAATAATTGTTTAGAGCTATCAATTAAAAATAAATTAATAAACAGGATCAATTAAAAATAAATAAATAAACAGGAGGACTGGAGTTGGGTGCGTTTGATGGGTGCTTGATTGCTGAGTCACTTTCTTATGGTTGTTCTGGGATGATGACAGCTGTTGAAAGCTCTGGTCTCGCAGTAAGTTAATTTATAAATTTATCGAGTAATTACTTAGTTTATTAATTGATTATTTATTGTAGCAATGGCCGATTATTCTTGGAGGGTCAAAAGCGCAACAGAAAAAGTATGTTGGAAGACTGTTGGAAGAACCATTAGTTGCTGTAAGTATTTAAATTATTATTTACATTTTTTTCTATTTTATGAAATTTATTTTTCATCAATTTATTATAATTTACTTATTAAAAAAATTATGGAAAAAAAAAATAACAATAAAGTTAGCCGACATCTAAAAAATTTGATAATTTTTTTTATTGAAAAAATTATTTAAAAAAAAAATTTGAAACAATTTCACACGTAGAAAGTTTTAAAAATTATACGTGCAATTTTGTAAAAATTTTTTTTTTGTTCTAATTTGATTGATAAAAAAAATCTAAAATTGTTGAACGTCGGCTAATTTTAATGTCATAAAAAAAATTGACATTTAGAAATTTTAAAAAATAAAAAATGCTATTTTTTTTAAATAATTTTTTGGAGCAAATTAGTTTGTTAAATAAAATTAAAAAATAGTCAAGTGACTGCTAATTTTAATGTCATAAAAAATTAATTAACAGGCATACTGTGTAACTGAACCTGGGGCAGGATCAGACGTAGCAGGTATTAAAACAAAAGCCGTAAAAAAAGGAAACGAGTGGATATTAAACGGTACAAAAATGTGGATCACCAATGGCGGTGTCGCTAATTGGTACTTTGTGCTTGCAAGAACAAATCCCGACCCAAAAGCGCCTGCGGGTAAAGCATTCACAGGTTTTATAGTCGAACGTGACTGGCCCGGAGTGTCTCCAGGACGTAAAGTAAGTAAAATACATCTCAAAATTTTCCAATCTGCCGACTATATCAATGTAAATTTCATCAGGAATGGAACATGGGACAGAGAGCGTCAAATACAACCATGGTAACCTTCGAGGACGTGCGCATCCCCGAGGAGAACGTGTTAACTGGAGAAGGAGCAGGATTTAGAATCGCAATGGAAACTTTTGACGCTACGCGTCCTATGGTAGCTTGCGGAGCAGTTGGTCTAGCCCAGCGGGCTCTGGATGAAGCTTTAAAGTACTCGTTGGAGCGACACACCTTCGGCAAACCCATCGCTGAACACCAGGCAGTCGCGTTTTTGATCGCGGATATGGAAATAGCGGTTGAAACCGCGCGTCTCGCGTGGATGAAAGCTGCTTGGGCTGCCGACAAGAAACTTCCCACTGCTACGAAACTTGCCAGTATTGCAAAGTGCTACGCTGCTGACATTGCGAACCGCGTGGCTTCTGACGCTGTCCAGGTCTTTGGAGGCGCTGGATTTAACAGCGATTACCCCGTGGAAAAATTGATGCGTGACGCTAAGATTTACCAGATTTATGAAGGAACTTCGCAGATCCAGCGATTGATTATTTCACGTCATATCTTCAAGGAAGCTAAGGCTAAGGCTATGTAATTGTTATCAGGGCTTTATAAAAATTAATTTTTTTTTATAGTTCATTTTTTATTTGAGATTTTTAATTAACGTGTTAGAAAATTTTATAATTTAATTTTTGCATTTAAAAAAAAAATTAAATTATAAATTTAAATAATTAAAATTAAAAATTTTAATTTTAAATAACAAATTTTTTAATTTTAAATTCAATAATATGCAACCATGATTGTTATCTTAAAAAATTTTTTTCTAATTAACTTGTCATGTAACTCAACTTCAAAAATCAATTGAAGCAGCAAATATTTGTTTTAAATAATTTACAAATTAATTGGTAGTGGTTTTTTATTTTAAAATAATTATTTAGAAAACAAATATATGATTACTCAGTAATTTTTACTAATAATATAATTTGATAGGTTGTTTGATAAAACAATTATTATGTAATTTCAATTGTGCTTTTTATTGTTTATTTAAATTAAAATAACCCATCTGTACAAATAAATAATTATTCAAATTAAAAATAATTTAATAACAAGTAAATTAAATTTAAAAAATGAGTGTGGTTTAAAACTGGCGCGACAGGTGGCGCTCATCGCAGTTTCGCGAATCAACACCACGGAATACTGAAGTCAAGCGCGTAAGCTAATTAATAATGACTCATTATCATTATTATAAAATATTATGTCGACAATAAAGTATAATATTATAAAGGTACCGGTATATTTGGTTAAGTCACGCGTGAATAAATTATGCAATGTGAAACGAGTAAAAGTGTAGTCCTCGGATAATTTGTGAGCGTGGTTTAGTGACACCTGACCTACATTTTGTTGATCCGTTTACAAACCGCGACTCAAAGTAACGTTTAATTACATTACAATACAGACTACTCCTCCGTACAGTTACAAGTGTCATTAAATAAATAAAAAAAAATATTTATATACATATATAAATATATTAGTAATAGAAAAATAAAATAAGATTAAATCTGTAAATAAAAATCACAAAACCCGATCTTAAGCTTCCATTTAATCGGTAATTAATTAAATACCGATATAAAATATCATTAAATAACATTACATAAATAACTACAATATATTACATGACATACTTTTGTCATTTTCACTTTCATTCACTCTCTGACGTCGGAGCGACTATTACTATTGGCGGGAAGCCTCAAACTTAAAACAGTACGAAAAATATTTTTTAACGTTTGATTAAAAAAAATAATTAACATAATAAATTGTTGCACAGGTTGTCTGGAGTGTAATTGGAGGCTCAGCGGTCGAGTGGCGTGTCGTCTGGCTGTTGAGTCAAAAAAAGGCGGCAAAAAGTGTAAAAAAAAGGGAAGAAAAAAAGAAGAAAAGAAAAAAAAAATATAAGTAAAAAACGTAACGATGACACAGTCGAAACTCGCGTCTGCGCCTGAGTTGAACTATTAGTCCGTTGGTATCACCCAGCGTGTGTGCACATCCCTGGGGTCCATTTGGTGCTGTCAGTGAGTACAATAGATCCCAAAAGATCCCAGGGATCATAATAGTCCTGTCGCGGTTTACCAGTACCTGGAGCCGGGTCCACCCGTTCCGGCGTCAAGGGAACTAATTGGGAAAAACACCCGGATAAACTTGGTTAATAAGTAGTTTAATAAAGTGCCCGTAACTCGTGTGTCTCGCGGAGACATATGAATAATCATACACACATATACATATGAAATACATATATGTAACAAAGTGTAAGTTAGTGTAATGTTGATGTAAATGTATTAGTTGTGTGTCGAACGTGTTATACACGTTACGAGGAGAGACGAGACACTCGCTTGACTAAAGGAGTGCCGTTGAGTTTTATGTGATTCGTTCTCTCTTTCAATTTCCCTCTCTTTTCGACACTCGGAAGGTTTTCTCTGTCCAGCTCCGTCTCTACTCGTATCGTCTGCTGGTGCTGCTCCTGCTACTGTATACTAAAGAGTGTAAGTGAAGTGGCCTACAGACCTACATTTGTCTAACGCACCATTTTTTTTACGAACCTCAAGACGCGGCCCCACCGGGTTAACACTTTTTTAATATTTTTTTTCAGTGTCCAGACACACATCCTGCTCCAGTAATGTGCCATTGATGTTTTGTTATTACAATTATGATTTATTACAACAATAACAACAACAAAAATTATTATAGTACTGGTTACTATTATTATTATTATTATTATTATTATTATAATAACAATAACTTACTAATACAATAATAATAACAATGGTTATTAACAACAAGGAAGAAGAAAAAAAAGGAGAATAATTATAATAATAATAACAAAAAAAAAAAAATAAAAATAAATGACGTACCGGCGCGAACTACGCTGTAATGGCTGGTTATATTTGTTTTTTATTTGCAAAAAAAAAGCTGGACACTTGAGGACTAGGATCACGGAGCCGGCAAGTGGATTATAATTATTTTTACAAGTAATTATTATTATTTATTACCTATTAATAGTGTTAGTAATAATTTATTGGTAAGGTATTGTCATTGTCATTGTAATTAGAGTACTAAGTATGGACTATCCTGGCAGATAAGCCAGCATTGACAAGAGGAGGCTATTGAAAAAATAATAAAAGATAAATATTGTCTGGTTGTCTGGAAACAAAGAAGACAAAGGAGATTGGTGTTTTCCGGAATGCGTCAGGAACGAGTGCCCGAGACTTCTACGGGTGACAACGTCATGGCAAGCACCACCCCGACGACGCCCGAGTCAACTTCTACTCAGACCCAGATAAATATTATTATCAGCAACTCTGGTGCTAGTAATAATATCACCTGCAACGATAGTAATGACAGCAATGAAGTTAATGAAGGTGACGTGGTATTGACGTCCACCAGTAATCACCAGCAGAGACTTGCACTTGATGTACAGACCGACTCAGGTACGACACACTTTTTTTCCCGTATTTATTGCTAAGCAGCATATCCACTCTATTCAGTCTGCTGCTGCTGCTGCTGCTGTATGTAAATGTATATATATTATATATACTTGGATTATTTTCTGAGAGTGAGAGGAATTTATGCCCGACATCGCATGCTCTAGCCGGTTCTCACTCTCACTTTTATTCACCAGGCGTTTTGTCGCGCTCGGGACACGCTCTTTGTTGTCTGTCGTTCGCCATCCCCTTCTACTGGACTCCCCTCCATCAGAAACTCCATTCTGCTTCTCAGAGCAGAGGCTCCTGGTCTGATCTTGCTCTTAAAAATTTTTTTTCATCCAGCTAAATAAAACCCAGACACTTTTTTAATTATTTTTATAAATTTTATTAATTAACAATTTTAATTCTCTTGCATTTGTTTGTTGGGGAAATAAATGCAAGTAGTTATTATTATTATTATTTCTCATGTTTATTTGAGTTTATTGATGGAGTGGAGTAACAGAGAGATTAAACTTGAGTTCAATTAAAAAAAATTACAAGAATTTAAACTGATGAATGACTTTTTATTTGCGCTGGTTAAATTTTATATAATGGTTTATTGTATGTATACAGTGCATCACATATCACATATGTATGTATGTACATACATTTTGAATATTTATGTATTTGTGTAGATATTGAAAGGGATAAAAATGCAACGAAATCTAGGTCAGACTGACTGTGAAATCAAGAATGATTATTTTCATTTTGCCAACTCATATACCCCTATATCATATATACATATATATGAATTTATGTAGGTGGAAATTTAAAAGAAAAAAATATGAGGGTATTTATTTATATTTAAACTGCAGTTAAATAAAATTTTCTCAAGCAAAAGATAAAACAATTAATTGTTTTTAGTTAAATAAAAATAATTAGGTCATTGTAATTGATTGATATATAAAAAGCAAAGAGGAAATACGGGTTGTCTATTAGAAGAACGTAAGTAGTAGGGACTAAATATAATAATCCCGAGTTTTAATAAAGTTATCGGTGACGTTTATCAAATCTATTTATATTAAATCACTGCTTTCAAATGCGCTAGTTATTTCGGTGGGTTTGTTTATTGATAACTTGTACTAAGCACGTGCATGTGTCATTATATAAAACTAGGCTTATTGTACACACAGAGAGTATGATCTGTTTATAATTAAAATTAAAATTATAATTAGATATGCGACAGAGCCCTTTTCTATCCGGGCATTGATGCAAATAATTGATTCCCGCTGTTCGAGAATTTCTTAATTATTTAAAATAAAATTAGCTTGAACATGTTACATAATTCATTAAAATTTTCAGGATAATTAAAAGGAAAACAGGGCAAGTATTTTAAAAATTTATTAAACGTAAATATGTACTGTCGCGTGGCGTTCCCAGCGTGAAGTTAAGGAAAATAAATATAATAAATGAGGGTAAGCTGTAAACTCTGAAGAATTTATACACAGAAAGACGTTATTTATTTTAGGTAACAACAGAAGGGAAATCTAGTTACAGTTTCGACTGTAAAACATAGAATTGCGACATCTTTATGGAGGGTTTCTCTAAATATTTGTAAGAAAACTAGTCTAAATCCTGCTAGGAAATTACACGGTTACGGAAAATATTTACCTAGTTGGTATCCAGCTGGGACGGTGACAACTCTATAGACAATATCTACCTGCAGTGCACGCGTCAATTGCACTTGTTGCGCTTTCGAACGAGCAGACTCGCCCCTGCCCTCGTGCCGCCCCTCGGTCTGCTTCGGCCTACCCCTTGTATTATATTATATCTTGTACCTCTGCCAGACAGCTCACGAGTCTATTTATCTCAACGTCTTATTATACTCTCCAGAGTTTCCATTATCTCGTACCCGTGTTTCCCATTTTCACGGTTCTACTCCAAGAAAAGTATAAAAATCCATCAGTTGCAACAGTAAATCATCATTATCCCGGTTATAGCCTGTCGGCACCCTCACAGGGGCATTCTCTCCTCAAAATGAGAGATGTTGCGTGCCCTAACGGAAAATGTCAAATACATTATATTTATTCTTTTATTCTTTTCTACCTTATTATTGTGTTTTACTTTATTTATCTTT